GCTAAGCTGATTATCGAGCCTTCATTGTAACAATCGCGGGTACACTGTGTATATGCGTGGGGAATGTTGCAGTAGAAAATTCCACTGTAGCGACCGGTACATTAATGGGAAACCCTAAATGTTTGAGCACCCTCTATGAAACGTCAAGCTACCTGAGCTACTGAGCCTGACTATTTGTGTTGGGGGGGCCCGACTTTTTTTTTTCTCCAAAGGGGGGGCCTGACAGAAAAAGTTTGAGAACCACTGCACTATATTAAGTTTCTCTGTTCAATGCACAATATATTTCCAATGCTCAAGTTGCTCTATCAGCCTGCCTTTAATGAGACTGCTGTGACTGCACATTATCTGCAAGCCTTTTTAAATCTGGCTGATAGTTAGTGATTGCCAGCCGAAGGCAGTCAGTAAGATGTGCGTCAGTCTTACGAGTTCTATACTTGGATTTAATTATTTTCATTTGTGAAAAGGCCGTTTCACATAAGTATGTGGAGCCAAAGTAGGCCTTCAGTTTAAGCGCACATGACACAATCAGTGGATACCTCTCTCTACTCACGAGTGACCAAAAGTCCTGATCTCTTGCTCTGGCCTTCAATTCAATGTCGCTTTGCATTTCAATGATCTCTATGTCAACACCCATAGGTAATGTAAACACCTCCTGCATTTTAGCTGACAGCTGTTCAATGTCAACGCTGAGGAAAGGGTTTGATACAAAACCAACTACTTGCCCCATGTCTTGTAGCTCCACAAATCGATCAGTTTGTTCAAATGGGTTCAGAATTGTTCAGAATGGAAAGCAGTTTTGTCTGTGAGGTTTTGTGACACCTTTTCAAGATTTGGGAAGTGTGTCAACCTCACATGTCTTAACTGAGTGGTCCACAAACTGAGCTTCACTTTGAATGCCTCCACTGCGCTAATCATGTGACCAAGCTCTCAGTCTTTCCCTTGCAATTCTCGGTTAAGGTCATTGAGTTTTGCAGTCAGATTGGTAAGGAACCCCAAGTCCAATAACCAAGTATCGTCGGACAGCTGCTCATACTCCTCGTTCCTCGACTTCAGAAAACTGATGATCTCTGGCAGTAAATGCTGGAGCACCTTTCCCCGACTGAGCCACCTTACATCTGCGTGAAGGATCAAATCTCCATACACAGAGTTCAGCTCGTCCAATAAAGACTTAAATAGCCGGTGCTGGAGTGCTTTTGCGCGAATTGAGTTGACAATCTTAACAACAACATTCATTACATGTGACATGTCAATTGCTTTAGCTGCCAATGCCTGTTGATGTACCACACAGTGATAGTTTACAAATGGTGGAAAGTCTGGGTCTTTTCTGCACAGCGCAACAAATCCTGAACGAACACCGAGCATCGCTGGTGCACCATCGGTTGTGAAGGACACTATTTTATGAATGGGAATCTTGTACTCACGAACATAGTCCTTGAATGCCTTGTACACATCCTCACCCCTGGTTCTTTCTTTCAATGGGATAAGGGCAAGAAAGGCCTCCTTGACAATCAAATCCGTGAAAACCATCCGGACAAACACACCTAGCTGGGCTGTGTCTGTGGCATCGGTAGACTCATCAAATTGAACTGAAAAGTATTCCGAGAGAGACAAGTCTTTTAATACTTGCTGGGATACATCTTCGGACAATGACTGGACTCTTCTGGCTACAGTAGGTGCACCAAGTGGTACACTTTTTATCCTTGCTTTTATGTCCTCTTTATTTTTGAAATCCGCAAACAAGACGTCAGCTGTGGCGCTCATTGCTTCTTTAATCATCTCACCATCCGTAAATGTTTTTTTGTGCTGAGCCAAAATATGGCTAATCCGGAGGGACGTTTCTGTAGCTGCATTGCTCTTTGATGTAGGCGCGATGAAAAGCGACTGCTGTGCTTTTAGTCCTCTTTTCAGTTCATCAATTATTTTGGTTCTTAATGCGCTGTTGAGTGGATATGAGTCTTTGAATTTACCATGGGTGCTCGCATGATGGCGCTCCAGGTTGCCCCGTTTCGCCAAGGCTACCGCCTGTTGGCATATTGTCATATTCCATCCATCCATCCATCCATCCATCTTCTCCCGCTTATCCGTGGTCGGGTCGCGGGGGTAGCAGTTCCAGCAGAGAGCCCCAAACTTTCTTTTCCCTGGCGACATCAACCAGCTCTGACTAGGGGATCCCAAGGCGCTCCCAGGCCAGAGAAGAGATATAATCCCTCCACCTGGTCCTAGGTCTACCCCTTGGTCTCTTCCCAGCTGGACGTGCCTGGAACACCTCCCTAGGGTGGCGCCCAGGTGGCATCCTAACTAGGTGCCCGAACCACCTCAACTGGCTCCTTTCGACGCGAAGGAGGAGCGGCTCAACTCCGAGTCCCTCCCTGATGACCGAACTTCTCACCTTATCCCTAAGGGAGACACCAGCCACCCTGCGGAGAAAACCCATCTCGGCCGCTTGTATCCGCGATCTCGTTCTTTCGGTCATGACCCATCCTTCATGACCATAGGTGAGGGTAGGAACGAAAATGGCCCGGTAGACAGAGAGCTTTGCCTTCTGGCTCAGCTCCCTTTTCGTCACAACGGTGCGGTAAAGCGACTGCAGTACCGCTCCCGCTGCTCCGATTCTCCGGCCCATCTCACGCTCCATTGTTCCCTCACTCGAGAACAAGACCCCGAGATACTTGAACTCCTTCACTTGGGGTAAGGACTCATTCCCTACTTGGAGTGGACAGTCCATCGGTTTCCTGCTGAGAACCATGGCCTCAGATTTGGAGGTGCTGATCCTCATCCCAGCCGCTTCACACTCGGTTGCGAACCGATCCAGTGAGTGCTGAAGGTCGCAGACCGATGAAGCCATTAGAACCACATCATCTGCAAAAAGCAGTGGTGCAATCCTTAGTCCACCGAACTGCAGACCCCCTCCCCCATGACTACGCCTCGAAATCCGATCCATGTATATTACAAACAGGATTGGTGACAAAGCGCAGCCCTGGCGGAGGCCAACCCTCACCGGAAATGGGTCCGACTTACTGCCGAGGACCCGGACACAGCTCTCGCTTTGGGAGTACAGAGATTGGATGGCCCTGAGTAGAGACCCCCCTCACCCCATACTCCCGCAGCACCTCCCACAGTAACTCCCTGGGAACTCGGTCATACGCCTTCTCCAAGTCTACAAAACACATGTAGACCGGATAAGCGTACTCCCAGGCCCCCTCCAGGATCCTTGCGAGAGTAAAAAGCTGATCCGTCGTTCCACGACCAGGACAGAATCCGCATTGTTCCTCCTCAATCTGAGGTTCGACAATCGGCCTGACCCTCCTTTCTGTCGGTACCTTGCAACTGCCTCGGGAGTCCCCCGGGATAACAAATCCCTGAAGGCCTCCTTCTTCAGTCGGACGGCTTCCCTGACCACCGGTGTCCACCAGGAGGTTCGAGGGTTACCGCCCCTTGAGGCACCTAGGACCTTGAGACCACAGCTCCCCGCCGCGGCTTCGGCAATAGAGGCTTTGAACACCGACCACTCTGGTTCAATGTCCCCAACCTCCACAGGAATGCCCGAAATATTGTCATATTGTCATATTGTTCTCTTTTGCTGATGTGAAAAGAAATTCATGCTCCCATTCCGGGTGGAAATAATACGTTTTTGATTTATTTTTCGCCGGACCCTCAGCCATATCGATGTTGGTTAAATATTAGCAGAACTTGGTACAGTTTAAGTTACTCCTGAAGATGACTGTTAAGATACGATTGTTAACCCCACCCAGAATTGCATGCAGCAATTCATAGACGTCAACATATCTAATAACCATTGTAGCCTACCATTGTCATTGTAAAATGACCTGTGCGTGATTCAAATCAACAAACCAGAGCTAGGTCTAAAACGTTTGTTTAAACAACCAACCAGAGCATGAACATTTTTTTTTTGGAAAATATTATGTTTTTGGAAAATATTTTTATTTTGGAAAATATTATTATTATTTTTTTTAAATGCTAGGGATCGACAGTGAAGGCTTTGAAGATCGACCAGTCGATCGCGATCGACCTGTTGGTTACCCCTGATTTAGCTGGTAGATGTTCTGTTTTCCTGTCAGGCAGAGATGTGGCCACATGATCATTTCTCTAACACTTTCTAATGACAACAGGATTCCTATCAGCCATGTGACAGGTAGTAGTCTAGAACATTTGAAAGGACAAATGTAGTATTTTGACCTGTTGATACCGTTTTTCGTGACAGTCAAGGTGAAGTTAGGTGATCCATCAAAATGTCCTCTCACTGCAGAGGAGACTTTCTTTCAGTTGGCTTTGTTCCCAATCTCAACAGACTTTATCAGTGCTGCTATAGTGAGCTGCCAAGCTAGTAAAGATGCTGATATATTAAAGTGCACCACAGATCCTGTTATAATAATACTTTCAGATTGATCCCAATTATGCCATCATTCAGGACATACACGCTCATTGCAAGAAAGAAGTCGAAAGGGTTGAGTGGTGCATGCGCAGGTGAAACAACTAATACTTAAGTGGGCAACAATTTGGATAATTTATGATGTTTAATCATACATTGTCTTAAATTGTGCTGGTGTTGGACTTTCAAGTGTTAGTATTTGTTGCTTTTTGTGTTTTTATAACGCTATAAAGAATATCTTTGGTTAATTACTCATTCAAACAAGCGTTTTAAATAAGTGTTTTTGGGCTATGGGAGCCTTTGATGGGCATTTGGTCAACAAAGTATTTAAAACAATACATTATTATAAATATACTTATTAGTTGCAGTAAAGTTAAAGGTTTTGAAATGTTTTGGACTTTTGCTCAGTTTTGTGGAACCAAATATACTCCATCAAATTAACAAAACTACAGTATGAAAGCTACATTTACTGTAGTGCAGTTGATCTCAAACTGTGCTACCTGTTGCACTCACATAATATTTACGTTTTGACTTGTTTCACACAGTGAAGATAACATACTGTTAGGTAATACTGCTATCCTGATGTTATTCCTTTTTGTCTCTTTTTTAGTATGAATTCAAGGCCAAGAACATCAAGAAGAAGAAGGTCAGCATTGTGGTGTCTGTGGACGGGGTGAAGGTGTTACTGAGGAAGAAACAGAAGGTAAGTCACCTGTGAACAACGAAGAGGAATAACATAGAACTGTGTTCCACTTGATTTAAGAAAGTAATCAGTTAGGCTGAGCGAAGAAGAAAATATTTCAGCTCTAAATTAGTTTTAAAAGATTGTTTTTACACACCAATACATATGAATGATATACATGAATATGTCTTGTTCTGATGTGTTATTGCTGCTTTGTCACAATCATCCGTCTCACACACAGAGGAAAGAATGGACATGGGATGAGAGCAAGATGCTGATCATGCAGGATCCTATATACAGGTCAGTCACACATCTCTTAAAATGACACTGTATGTTTGTATTAAACAAAACAAAGCTTTCTTTGCACACTATGGCAGTAAGATTTGGAAAAATGGCAATTATTTTGTCTGATTTTGCAATAGAGTCAAGATATTACAACATATGATTATTTCTAATCCATTAAGTAAATGATTATTTAAAGATTTGTTTAAGATGATCTGTACCAAATAAATAGTTTATAGATCACGTTTTGTAGGCTGGAATATCTCTCCGGCCCCACATTTCTTAATTCAAAATGTCATTTACCACATATTTAGCCCTTAATAAATATTGTCCTTCCTGCAATTTGAATATGTCATTACTATATATTAACTATTAATTAACATTTAGATTTATTGTGCAGCCCTGTAACACACGCTGAGGATTAAACTGCCTGATATTCAGTCCAGTGTGTTCTGAACTCAGCATGTTCTATTTGACTGCAGATGAAACACACTGAATGTCCCTCTGTGGAAATCTTCTCTGCAGCTCACCCTCAGTGGATGATGCTGAGTCTTGGTACTTTTTAGTCCCTCACATTGGCTTGACCATGCAGGACTAATGTGCTTCAATGTACTTTACTGCATGTGCTAAATGTACTTACTGTACATGCATTAAATTGTATAATGAATAATCTATAGCTTGTGTATGTGTTGGTAGAGCATATGTTTGCCAGTATGGGATTTTTCCAAGGGAGGCATCCTACTCACATTATGTTCACAGTGATCTGGTGTTTAAAGGGGTGTGTGTGTGTGTGTGTGTGTGTGTGTGTGTGTGTGTGTGTGTGTGTGTGTGTGTGTGTGTGTGTGGTGTGTGTGTGTGTGTGTGTGTGTGTGTGTGTGTGTGTGTGTGTGTGTGTGTGTGTGTGTGTGTGTGTGTGTGTGTGTCATACCCTCCCTGTTTACATGATGGAATTAACCAATCATAACAGGCTTCTGACGCTGCCAGTCACTGCTTTTTTTGTCTCTTCAAAATGAGCAATTATGGTTAATAATGCAACCTCTTAACAGAAATAGAAATCTGTGAATCTCAGCTTGTGTGCGATGTGTGTTTGTAAATTATGTATTCACCTGTGGAAGAATCTCATTTTCCAAAGCCACACCTCATCAAAGGACCGTTTATGTGTGTGTGGTCAGAATAATTGCACTTGCCTGTGATTCTGTGGGTTTGGTTTTGCAGTGGAAACACATGCAGTACTGTAGTACACCCTGTAGTATCAGGTGGCTTTCATGAGTTGATGGTCATAATTAGTTTGCCTCATTCCCAGTGGAGAGGAGATGCAGGCTGACCCTCTCACGGTTTACTGCAGAGAGCGCAGCGTTTATGGCAGAGTGAAAACCAGACAGGGCGCGTACTTAAAACACAGTATAATACTACACGTATTATACTGTGTAAAGACATTCTTTATCCTTGATAAATATGAATTTAATCTGGAGAAATAAGGCATTGGGAAGCAGCAAATCTGCCAACAGACACTCACACAAACTCACACACAGGAGGAGAGATATATGACAAAAACACACATAACAATCCAGGGTCATACATTAATACCAATGCCAGTGAAATTCCATTTATTAATACCCATTTTGATACCATAAAGTATTGTCAAAATTCTCTAATCATTCGTTTTGTATTGTGAAGTAACTCTAACATTTGTGTACTCAAATCTAGTTTCATGTTTTCAGGATTTTCTACGTGTCTCATGACTCCCAGGACTTAAAGATCTTCAGCTACATCGCCAGAGATGGATCCAATAACTCCTTCAGATGTAACGTCTTCAAGTCAAAGAAGAAGGTACCACAGGAGTCCACTCACACACACACACACACACACACACACACACACACACACACACACACACACACACACACACACACACACACACACACACACACGCTCACACGTGCACACACACACACACAACTGATTGCACACACACTTTTCTGGGGAATAGGCTTTATGCAACATCCCTGCAGCTTTAATGGGTCATCATCCTTGATATTCCCTGTATAAATAACACTGACCATCATACTGGAATGAACCCATCATAAAGGGAGAAGAAAACAAATGGTAGAAACTGCAGCAGTAGTCCTTAATCTAACAGCTATACGACGTGTTGCATTCAGAGTCAGGCTTTCTGAACTGTGCACTTATTCCTCTCACTACCCAATTTGCTGCTGTCACTGCTCATGATATAAAACTCCTGCTGCTTCATGCAGTGTTAGGCGCGCTGCATGGATGAATATATGCATTGCAGACTCAAATGTGGTATCAGTTTTCTGTTTCCACCTGTGACTGAGGGCTGTTTATATTAAATGTTTTTCAATTTTTCTATCTCTTATTCAGCTGAGTTAATTAAAATGTGGTTTTAATTAGTTTTTTTGATTTCCGGTGGCTTAGTTGATATCCTGAGGTTCATCTCTGTGGATAAAAAGCCTGCAGTGAATACAGAAGAGATGATTCAAACTGCATATTTCCCCAAACAACTCTTGATCTTTAGCATCTTGCTGCAGTTGTTGCTGTAGTATCTGCTGCAGCCTTGGCTCACAGGTCTGGTGTTATCAGTCAGCTGTAAAGAGAATTGTTCCACAGAAGGGAAGTTATTAGTCTCTGAATGGAGGTATTCAACTGCGTGCCAAAGAATGACTGCGAGTGTTCATGCTTACACAGTCTGCAGCGAGTGATTTCACTGATGAACTCCTCTTAAAGCAGCCAGCAGGAACTCATCAGCCAAATGACCGTTTTTTGGGTGTTTTTTGTTAAATATTTCTTCTGTTAACGCTGAACTTTTTTATTTTAGGTATTGGGGCTAAAGTACCGAGTATGTTTTCTTATTCTTTACAAGAAAGTATATGAACAGGCGTTTGTAAGCGTGTATGTAAATGTGTGAAATCATCCCTCTATTGTGTTCGACCTATGACGATAACTGGACTATATGAGCCATTGCTTTATCAGCCTTAATCTACATTTATATATATTACTGCTTGGATTTGAGTTTTTCTTGTATTTTTCTTCATCTTCCGCTTAATTCTTCTTATTTTTGTTCATGTTTTTCTGATTTGCTGGTACTGTATGTCAAAATATGAGTGCAACTATTTAATGAAATAAGCTAAATACAAATAAAATCACTGACCTTTTACCTTACACCCTCCCTCCTGTCTCCCCCTGTCAGACGCAGGCCATGAGGATAGTGCGTACAGTGGGTCAGGCCTTCGAGGTGTGTCATAAGATGAGTCTGCAGCACGCTGAGCAGGACGCAGACGGACAGGCGGACGGAGAGAGCGACAAGTCCTCCGAAGAGTCCAGCAGTCAAGGTGAGGCCTACCTGAAAGAGCTTACTGTCATCTGCTTACATTTGCTGGGTACAAGCAAATGTAAGCAGATAACAGTAAATACATATTTAGTGTTATTATAGTGTGATCGAGAAAAAGTTAAATAAGGTATTTAAAGTTTGCAATCAAATCCTTGAAACGAACTAGAAGGGCTCTAAAAGAGAGTAGACCTCCTCCAAGGTCAAATGCATTTCACATTTTTAGGAAGGTGAAAGATAATGTATCAGCCCTTTAACTTGGCTCCGCTTCAGAATTCAATGACTTGTTCCTTGGCCCATGCTACACCAGTTTCATTGACAATTTGCCAGAAATGTTTTATAATCCTGCTGACAATAGTCCACTTATTCCTGGTCTCTGTTTCCAGCTTACTTTGTGAGCCACAGCCTATTTGTTTATTGTGTTTGCTTTGGTTAAGCAATGTGTAAACAACTACTGCACCTCCACCTGTTAGCCAACAACACATGTAGCCAAACAGAAGAAACACAACACAAACTTAGATAAAAAAACAACAACATTAAATTACTTTTTCTAAAGTAATCTTGTATCATGGACTGTTTCTCAAATTAAATGATGCAATGCATATACCCAGATATTTAATTGAATTGGATAATTAACTGAAACGTTTTCCTTCAACTCCATTAGTTTGTAGAAAGCCAAATGCTATACTATGTATTGAGTTTTTAATACATGGTTGCACTTTTCCAATACAATAAAAATTATAGAACAATCATAAACTGTGTATTGAATAAGTTTAAAATGAAATATTAACATCTTAACCTATAGTAGAGTAACTAATATTTTGAGTTGTGTGATTGGAGTCCACACCTCTGATAAACTATGCATAAAAAAGCTAAATATCTGGAAACGAAATATGGATGTGTTACACCAAGAATGATTTCAGACTTAAATGTTGTTTTTCAACTTCATCCCGTAAAAGGTTGGTCTCTGGTTTATTCCTGTCTCAGCTGGACTACAGTGATACCATTTATAGATTTGCCTGTCCCACTGTTTTGGCCAAACTTGACCCACTCTACCATGCTGCACTGCGTTATATATCAAATGCACCCTATAGGACTCATCATTGCAAACTGTATAGCCTAACTGGATGGTCCTCACTTACTATGCGTAGGATGCAGCATTGGTTTTTATTAATGTATAAAGCCATTTTAGGTAAGCTTCCACTCTACATATGTGCCAGATTTGCCCCAGTTTGTGCCACGGTTCCAGGTTCCTGCTGTGCGGACTGAGGCTGGAAAAAGGAGTCTTTTTTATTATGGTCCTTGGTCTTGGAATGACCTTCAGTCAACCCTCAAACTGAGGGCACTTGTCTCAATAGTATGGGCTCAGAACAGTCTCATAATACTGTAAACTGTGAAGACCACTGAGACAAATGTAACATTTGTGATATTGGGCTATATAAATAAACATTGATTGATTGATAATACACACATGCACACAGAAGGATTCACACTTGTACTTCATGATCCGCAAAAGGAGTCACACTTGTATTTCCGGATCCACACTTGTGTTTTTCAATGCACACACAAATATGTTCCGTTTCATATACATGTAAATAAAATCCAAATACAGAAAAAAGTTTTACATATGTATTTTTGATCCACACATATTTGTTTTCCATTTAAATCCTCTGCACCTGCAAACACAAACCGCTTTCTGTGCACGGATCGCTTTGCATTCGTGTGTGGGTTTTTTGAGACTCCCCTGACGGTCAGCCGATTCGTACTTGTAATCTTTTCTATCTATAGCCAATCAGATGTCTCCTCAATTCTAAGCCAATCACATGAGCGCGCCCCCACGAGGGTAGATGTCTTGCGTTCATGACGTAGCGCTTCATGTACGCATTTTGCGCTGTCCGGAGCTGACAGGTCCAGGGACCCTGCCTGCAGGCGCTAATCTCAGGACACCCTCCACTCTCAGTACAGCGCCACTTTCCGAACAGGAAATGCACGCAAATACAAGCCTTTATATTATTAAGGTACAGCGCCACTTTCCGAACCATTGATGAATGCTTGTGTACACAAAAACGGCAGGCAAAACCGTTTTAAATGTGTGTTTCCTGTATGGCGAATACAGCTGCTTTATTTATGTCTGTATGAAGTTGTTGTGAGTGTGGAGGGAGCAGCTACAGGTTAGCTTAGCCTAATCGATCAGTGCACTACGAAGCCAGTGCTAGACAGTGAACTGTCAACGGGGGGGGGAGCCCCGCCGGTCATTATCGGCCGATATTCACTCTTAATAGTTTGATCGGTGCTCTCTATAAAGGCCGATCAGGAGACCTGGATCTGATCTATATGGACATAAATGCGTATATGAAGCGCTACGTCATGAACGCAAGAAATCATACCCTGGTGGGGGCGCGCTCATGTGATTGGCTTAGAATTGAGGAGACATCTGATTGGCTATAGATAGAAAAGATTACAAGTACGAATCGGCTGACCGTCAGGGGAGTCTCAAAAACCCACACACGAATGCACAGCGATCCGTGCACAGAAAGCGGTTTGTGTTTGCAGGTTCAGAGGATTTCAATGGAAAACAAATATGTGAGGATCAAAAATACATATATAAAACTTTTTTCTGTATTTGGATTTTATTTACATGAATATGAAACGGAACACATTTGTGTGTGCATTGAAAAACACAAGTGTGGATCCGGAAATACAAGTGTGAATCCTTCTGTGTGCATGTGTGTATTATGAGACTGTTCTGAGCCCATACTGAGCCTGTTTTAAATTGAAGTTGTCTGAGGTCCTTACCACCAGCTGCTCTTGCAGTAATATAGTGCACCTTTCTTTCTGTCCTAATGTGCACAATGTAGTAACTGCTTTTTCGTCTTTTGTTTTCTTAGTTATGTTCTCTTGTGTTATGTGTTATGTGTAACGTTGCTGCCTTCTTGGCCAGGTCAGCATTGAAAATGAGATTTTATCTCAATGCTTTTATCTGGTTAAATAAAAAATTAAAATAAAATAACACATTTTACATTTGTAAAGCACTTAAATAGTATGCAAAGGTACTTTACAAGGAATTTAAACAACGGCAATAACAGCTGTGTATGACAACACACATTTGACCTTTCTGAATTCTGTTCTGGACAATGTTTTTGTGAAAAACATTTCTGTTTATGAGCCTTTATTTATCCTTTCAGTTAATTGGCCCAACCTCTCTCTCCTGGCTAAAGCTTGACCTTTAATTTCACGCCTCTTTAGGACCTAAATGAAGCCATCAAACCTCACCAGCTCATTAATTCGGCACAGCGGTCAAACAGCATCAGCACAGATGTCCAGTTACACCAAATAAACAGTATTAAGAAACAACATCCTGCTCATGTTGAAGTGAATGCTCTTTGAGGCCCCGTGACGTGTTTACTTCATGCAGGAAGGAGGGTAACAAAGGGAAAAATCCCTGTAATCACAACGTCATTGGACAACAGAAGAGGTTGATTACCAGTGTTACCAGTAATGAGAGTAATTTGCTCAGTAACTGAACACTTCTCTGGCACTGAGCTACAGTTACAGACAGGCAGAGGTGCTGTGTATCTGCTCCAAATAGCAATAATTCAGGGTTTGGTTATCTAAATAAAGGCATGCTGGTTTGTCATTTACATAACACCCTTGAGGGGATGTTTTTGCTTATTGTCTTTGTGTATTCCTTATCAGGTCGTAAGCTGACGGGGGCAGAGCAGGGGGAGGAAGAGGAGGACAGCGAGCTGAAAGGAAGACGAGGAGGAGAAGATTCTTCAGCCGGCGCCTCGATGTGTGAGAAGGCCCTCAGTGAGATCCTGCAGAGCCTGACCGAACTGAACGTGGTCAAACCTGGACAGACCATCATTGTAAGACTACTACCACACACACACTCACAAACACACACTCACACACTGCATTGTTAAGGGCAGGGACACTATGCTCTGCTTGATATCTTATAATCGTCTTCAGTCTGCCCGGTATAAAGACAAACAATCTGACTTTTTTTATTTCAAAGGAAACAGATAATGGAGATTACATAACATCAACATTTAATTTCTTCTCAGTGTTTGTGTAATTTAAACTCTGAAGAAATGTAAAATGATACTATCTATTCTAATATATTTCTCTTTAAGAGTTGTGAAAAAAACAATGACTCAGAGTACGCAAAAGGTAGCGATAAGATGTTACAGAGAATTTGATCAAACGTAAAAACGTTACATACATTAAATGCTTTGACAATAAATACATCAAAAAAATTTCATCTGTGGAAGCCAACTGTAAAAAGCACGACCAATCATTTTAGCCGGCCCGGCTAAAGTAACTGGATGGCCTACCTGCCTGTCAGCCTTCCATCTGTGCACAAACTTATCTCGTGCCCTCATTGGTCATGTGCGCTTTCGTGTGTGTTGGAGGAGGGGCTCTGTGAGGAAGTTTGTTGGAGGGGGAGCCAGATTTTTTTCGGCTGCGTAGTTTCAAATTCTAGCGCACTCGAGCTGGTTTCTCCATTCTTACCTACCCTACCTGTAGGAGCCATTTTGTGGGTGATGTTGGTGTGTCAGTTTATTTAAGTTATATGTATAGTGCAATATTATTTATGAACACTGGGTGGCGGGGTTTAGCTGCACCGGGTGTATATAAGGAGGTCATAGGTGACAGGAGATGGGTGGACACAGTAGGAGAAGAGCATACCGATTCCACCAGCCCGGCAGATGCTCATAAGAATCACTAGAACGCTAAATTAACCCTGGTATGTAAAGACGAATAAACATCATCATAAACCACAACTAAGGACCGGAAAATCATCTGTTTGTGTCTGCGTCTGGATCACTTTTCAACCCTTCTGTGAAAGTAACGGCAAAAATATATAGGACATAGGAAAAGGAAATTGCCATTACATTAAGTGGAATCGTACTTTTGAGTGAAACTGGACAATTGGATTCACTTCAAATTGGATTAAGGATCGTTTTCGGGGAAAACAAATAATTGGATTATTGCACCATCGACTTCTCATCACGGATCAGCTGCACACGCCACAATCAGCTGGAGATTGTTCCCACCTGCGAGGACCGAAGAGGCTGAGAGAGGACTGGGAAAGCGGCCGGGTATGTGCACCGTGCAGCATGATAAGTAGATTGTTTTGGAGATATTAAGCTGTATTGGACAATGGCTTAGTAAATGGATGTGGTGCTGCAACATTGTCAGCTGTTTGAAACAGCGCGCTGTCAGCTAACGGACAATTCCTGAGAACGAAACTTAAAGGGACAGTGAACATTAATTATGTCTGTGACATCTGACGTCACGTCACAAGAAGGCGCTGTTGGACTGCAATCTGTGAGAGAAAAAAGGATTATCACTCACACTGCCAAAGGATTGGAATTGTTTATTGCAAACTGCCAAAAAGCAAGAAACTTCAGTTACAAACAAGTAAAGAAGTTAATGGAAGTACTGAAAGAGCTTATGAGCTCAGAAGACAATGCAAAGGAAATACAGTTGAAACTGGTTGAATTTAAGAAGTTGTGTGATGAACTAAAAGAAAATCACAAATCATTAACTGACCTTCAACTGCCTGAAGAAGAAATGGGAAAGCAAAGGCAGTGGCTGCAAGAAAAGATGCATATATTTGATGGATTTATACAAGATGCAAATGTGTGGTTATCTGAGAGTGGACAGGCAATTAGACACTCTATTGTGGGAAGTGCCATAGAACAAAGTGTCAGCTCAGATGACATCGGACCTGATGACAGCATTTCAAAGGCATCACACCCTCAGTCAAAATACAAACCTGGTTCATCACACGCATCATCTACCTCTTCTGCTCGAATTAAAGCCCAGGCAGAAAGGGCGGCTTTAATCGAAAGGGCGGCAGCACTGAACAGTCAACATGAGCTTGATGTAGAAGGGGAACAATTAAAACACCAGAAACAACAGTTGGAACAACAGGAACAACAGGTGAAACGGAAAAAGGAACAACTGGATATACAAACTAAGCTGGCAGAAGCCAATGCCAGGCTAAACGTGCTCAGCATGGGATCAAGACACACCTCTAGAGCATCAGATGGGATGAGCTCTTACTACAGAAACCCTACAGCAAGATTTAACGTACAGGCCACTGAATTCTTGCCTCATCAAGCCCAAACCTCTATTCCCAGACAAAGTATACAGACACATGTGCAGGGACATGTTGACATCACACCTCCTGTAATCAACAATGGTAATCAAGGTGACATCTATAACCTAATCCAGAGGCAAAATGACAACACTGCTATGCTGGCTCAACAACATCTCACTTCTACTTTACCTCCAAGAGACATTCCTGTTTATGATGGTGACCCATTGCAGTTTGAAGCTTTCATCCGTGCATTTGAAAGAGGAGTAGAGCGGAACACTAATGATGAAAGTGACTGCCTGCATTACCTAGAGCAATACACTAGAGGACAACCACAGGACCTAGTGCGCAGCTGCCAACATCTGCCTCCAGCTCAAGGTTATCAAAGGGCAAAACAGCTGCTTAAAGAGCACTTTGGTAATGAACATAAGATCGCCACTGCATACATGAACAAAGCATTTACCTGGACAATGATCAAAGCCGAAGATGTGAAAGCACTGCAAACCTTCTCTTTGTTCCTAAGAGGTTGTTGCAATGCAATGGAACATCTCACCTATATGGATGAAATGAATGTTGTTTCAAACATGAAACACATACTTCAGAAACTACCCTACAAATTCAGAGACAAGTGGAGGAATAGAGCATGTCAGCTACAGGAAGAGCGTGGGCATCGAGCTACATTTCCTGACCTTGTTAGCTTCATAGAGAGGCAAGTGAAGATACTGTCAGATCCTCTGTTTGGAAGCATCCAGGATGATAAACCAACTGCAGCTATCAAAACGGTTATCTCTACCTTTTCAAAGGGAAAACCAAGCCTAAGGGGGAAGTAGTTTTGCAACAATTATTACCTGCCCAAGAACAGCAGTGCTAGAACATGTAACAACGAATGGAATGAAAATACCTCCATCAAGCCACAACTCCCTACATTTGTGTTTGTTCTGCAGAAGAAGTGGTCACTCATTGGAGCAGTGTCCACACATCCTGAAGAAAACACAGAGAAAAAATTGACTTTTTGAAAGGAAAAGGGGTGTGTTTTGGATGCCTAAAAATAGGACACATGAGCAAACACTGTCACAGTCGTTTGACATGTTATGTGTGCAATCAAAGTCATCCTGAAATACTCCACATTGAACAAAAAGGCAAAAGAGAGGAAGCAGAACACACAAAACAGAATGGGAAGCCAATGGAAAGTAATAGTGTCATCTCACCTCATACATGTGGTCACATTGGGGCCGGTGATGAAAACTCCATCTTCTCCATTGTACCAGTACAAGTAAAGAGCCACAAAGGGGACAAAGTGTTACAAACTTATGCATTTCTGGACCATGGAAGTTCATCCACCTTTTGCACAGAAAGTTTAATGAGGAGGCTAAACCTTACAGGACAAAGGACTAACATTCTCCTAAAGACAATGAATCAGAGAAAGATTGTGTCTAGTCATCATATCTCAGGTTTGGAAATATCGAGTCTGGACGAAAACAATTTCCTTCAACTATCCGATGTGTTTACACATAAAACCATGCCTGTTTCCAAGCACAATATTCCTCTACAAGAAGATCTGGAAAAATGGCCTTACTTAAAGGACATCAAAATTAATGAAATTGCTTCTGGCATTGACCTACTCATTGGGACAAATTCTCCTAAGGTATTGGAACCTTGGGAGCTGATCAATAGCCAAGGAGAAGGACCGTACGCTGTAAAGACCCTACTGGGGTGGGTCTTCTATGGTCCCCTAAAAGGAAGCAACGACAGCAGAGATGCTAATTGCCACCCTGTTGCTACTGTCAATCGGATATCCATTGTACACCTAGAGGAGCTATTGGTCAAACAATACAATCATGACTTCAATGAAAATACAAGTAAGGAAACAGAGGAAATGTCCAGAGAAGACAAACAATTCCTGAACATTATGAATCACTCTGCAAAAACCACAGATGGACACTACTGCCTAGACTTACCATTTAGACAAGAAAATCCTAGCATGCCAAATAACCGATGCGTCGCTGAGCAGCGTATCCAAGGCCTGAAACGCAAGTTTGGAAAAAATGAGAAATTTCACAATGAATACACTTCCTTTCTGACGGAAATTATCAACAACGATTATGCTGAAATGGTACCAGTAAACCAGCTAAAGCCAAGTGATAACAAGCGTTGGTATATACCTCACCATGGGGTATATCACTCGAAGAAAGGAACATTAAGGGTGGTCTTTGACTGTGGTGCTGTCTTCAAAGGAACATCACTTAACTGCCAACTGCTTCAGGGTCCACATCTAACAAACTCACTCATTGGAGTCCTTATCAGATTTAGACAAGAACCAGTTGCCTTAATGGCTGACATCAAAGCAATGTTTCATCAGGTTAAGGTGTCAAAGGGGCATATTGACTATCTGCGATTCCTGTGGTGGCCCAACGGTGATGTGCAACGGGATCTTGCTGAATACCGGATGAAGGTACATCTTTTTGGAGCAGTATCATCACCCAGTTGTGCAAACTTCACATTGAGAAAGACTGCTGAGGACAACAAAGATAACTTTACAGCAGATGTGGTAGACACAGTTAAAAATAACTTCTACGTGGACGATTGCCTAAAATCCATGCCCTCTGAGTCAGAAGCAGTAAAAATGGTAGGAGACCTGATTGCTCTCTGTCGAAAGGGAGGATTTATGCTGTCAAAGTGGATCAGCAACAGCCGTGCAGTATTAGCATCCATTCCACAACAAAGCAGAACCAAAGAGACCAAGGACTTGGACTTGGATAG